GGAAGACTCAATACTGATCAAGCAATTCTTAATGAATGAAAAAAACAAACCCTCAGTGCATGAAGAATTAGAAGCTAATGATTCACATGTCTTCCTCTCTTTTTCTGTACATGCCCCTTTTATAACCAACATATGTGGGGCTCTGAGCATTACTGTGCCACTGACTAGGATGAAGGTACTGGAGTTCAGAGAAGGGCAGTAAGAAAGGCAGGTGTCCACATAACTGTAGTAAGAGACAACAAGATTATATGGCCTGAAATCAAAAAGCCATTAATTGAGGAGATCAGTTAGGAGGGCTGTCGGCTGGATACTCCCCGAAGCATTCCAACTGCCACAGGCAAACTGGCCTATTTAACCTACACTAATGATACGGCAGGGGTATTAATTTTAAGTAAGAAACATTGCAGGGGAGGGTGTCAGAGGAGCATTACAGTTGGAAGACACAGACAAAGGCACAGAGGTCACAGACGAAAAAGAACTAATGAAGATAATGTGATGTAAAGAATGCATGACTATGAGCTGCATTTGTGGATTACAACATACTTTTTCATAGGCATAATACTCTTTGTTGTCATGAGAGTCAGTCCCAAAACTGAACTATGCTGGCAGTCACCACCACCTCCTTAGCTACAGTGCTTCTGTAGATAAGAATCCATTTTCCTGTTGGCAGAGATAGAGGTGCCCTTGTGCCATGGCATTGCTGATCATTGTTAGACAGCAGTGTAGAAGATTAATCTGTAATGCCACTTTATGTCTACTTTACTTTCTCCTCCATAGCTTCATCCAGAAGATGATACTGGTAAGACAGATGTTGCGACTTAACTCTATTTCAGGAAGACAGTTCTTTCTTTTACGAATCTACAAATATGTGATAGAATACCCTGGAAGTGTTAAAGGCCAGGATGGACAAGGCTTTGAGCAGCCTGGTCCAATAGAAGGTGTCCCTGCCCAAGGCAGGGGGGCCGGAACTAGATGATCTATATGGTTCCTTCCAATCCAAACCATTCTGTGATTCTATGATTCTGTGAATTAGACTACATCTTCTGCTCTTCATCCCTTTATTCTTTCCTCTGACTTGGTCGTTAGGCTTCAATAGAGGATATTTTTTTCATGAACCGCTACTCTTCTTGTGAGAAAAAAAAACATTAAAATTCCTTGAGGCCAATTTAAATCTGAGATCCTTGTATACAGTTCTTATTGTTGGAGGAATGGAAGTGTGGGCTGGATAGAAGTGCCACCTTACATCTGTACAACAGTGCTTTTATGTGTGCATTTGTGGTCTGTCAGCAGCTTTTGCTCAATCATTCTCACTTTGTACAGCAAAGTTGACTTGCCAGTGTGGAAGCTGTATTAATTATCTGAATGTGGAAATCTGAAATTTCTCACAGGAGAGGAGCCTTCCTCCTCCACTCTTCTGTTTGCATACACCTATCACAGCTTGTGAGGGAGACAGAAAGGAACTGCGAGGAGCCAGCAACAGACAGCTGAGGGATAACGAAGAATCAGGCAGCTCAGTCTTGAGCGCACACGTACATGGATGGGTACAGAGGAGAAAAATTGCAGGGAAACAGCAAAACCAAACAATGGAGCAACCTGTAAGTATGTTTATTTCCTAATGCCCTTTCTAATACATTTTTTCATGTAAGAGATCTTCGCTATCCAGATGAAGGATACAGCTTCAGGTATTATGAGACTCGTGATTTTTTTACTTAATGCATAATGAAAATTTTACTGTCTGCAAGGGCATGCCCTCTTTTTCTCTTAATCATGCGTGATGTCTCTTTTTCCAATTCTCATTCTTTATTAGCATAAACAGATAAATGAGAGAAGATCAGGACTGGGGAGAATATAATCCTATTCCAGCTACATTTCTGACTCCTTGAGAAAAGAACTTTGCTATTGATTTTATGTGAACAAAAACTGAAGATTTAGTAGTGTTGCATAAATCATTAAAAACCATAAACCTTTTGGCTAGAAGGTGAAATTCAGCTGCCTGAGCAGATACATGACAGTTAATCAGGGCATAGATGTGGTGTCCACATATTTTCTGTATTTTTTTTCCTTACTGTGCTTCCAGATCTGCAGTGTGTGCTTGGGGGGGTTGGGGTGGAGTGGAACCTCTGTGCTTTCTTATGCATAACTTTGTTTCATCGCTTTTTCCAAGGCCAGCTAACCTACATGATCGAATTCTAAAGCCCCCATATGGACTTTCAAAGCCAGAATTTGCACCAGCTTTTAAAAAAAGCAATTCAATAATCAGCCATTTTGTATCACTAGTGAATTTCTCTCCCTCTCTGCTTATCACTTTATCCATACAACATATTTTTAATTCCAGTATGCTATTATTGAAGCAAGTCAAACACAAATAGTTCATTTACATATCGGTTAGGACAAGCCTTATAGCAAAGCCATCATGGTTTTGTTTGGTTGCATTTTCATGTAACCATAATTTTAAATAAAAAGGGACAGTTGAGCGTAGTCAATCATGAATGCCCCCCCCCCTTAACTAACATTTAGACCAGTGAGACTTTTTAAAATTTTATAAAGTTTTTCTCTCTTTTATAGGTCTAACCATATCACCTATGTTTAAAAAAAAACCAAAACAATCACTGTTGGAGCATTTTCCAAGATTGCTTTAACAGAATAACAACCAGAATTTACAGCATCTCACCCTGACTCCACAAAGCACTGCCAAAACTGTCCAGGACTCCAAGCGTGTTCTTAATTTCCACTGACTCCAAGATAAGCACCTGTATAAGTGTGTTTATTGAGCTAGTACTCAGCTAAGCATTTATTTGAACAAGTAATTGCTTTCCTGAACTGGAAGTTCTGGATGCACACAATATATGTCCATATCCTCCTTCCCTGAAATGGGATTAAGATCTCTAGTCATCCCTCTGGGATTATGAATGAAGTTAAATTTGGGGTTTTATTTTTAGAATTAAAATCTTTGCATCAGATTATGTACTTCCCACTGTTGACGCACAGGTGACACAATAAAATAGTAAAGAAAACAATGTATCATTACAGTCGGAGAAAAAAAAGAGAAAGAACCAAACGTCAAAAATTTCTTGCAGTAAGTCCACCAATCAGTTGTACTCAGTAATGGAAACAGAACCAGGAAAACTACAGATTGTGTTATGAGGTGGTATGCAGATTTTTGTAGGTCAGGGATCCATGTGAATGCAAATTTTCCAAAGTAGTGGACAATTCAATCAGATATACATTGTGATGTACAAGAAGCTGTATCTTTTAATTAGTTTTGTAAGTGAATAAGGTTTATCTATTTGTGTTGTGCATTTGCACATTTGTCAGTCCTCCAGTAACTTTTAAACTTACCAGTTAGCTAATCTCAGATTTCCAAATTTCACAGAGACACAAAAATGCCAAAGACAAATAATGAATCTCTACCAGACCACAAAATCAGAGACTGTGTAGAGAGAACAGAGTCCCAGATGTCCCACAGAGGAAAAGACAGGGACAGCCCAGTTCTTGTTGGCTCCAAAGTGGGTGGCCAGCAGCCTGTCAGCACGGATGGCACAGTCAGAATCTGCACCACTGCTGCTTGGTGCACAGCTGTGATGGACTTCTGGGAGAGGTTTATGGCAGATTCAAGGCTCGCTCATCTATCCATCTATCCATCTATCCATCTTATCTACCTATCTATATCTGTCATAATCGGGGGAGTAAAAAGCACTAGTACTCAAACAAGATGTGAACAGTTTATGTGCACGAGTATGAGAATGAGGTACTGAAACAAGGCCTCTGAGCACAGAGGGATATGTGGATTTCTGCTGTGTGGGACCACTGCAGGTAGGTTACAGACAACATGGGGAAGTTGAGAGCATTGGTAGCAGAGGACACGTGTACTAAGGGCATGAAACAATGAAATATGGCTTTGTTGACCCTCATTGCTCATGGAACTGCTTATTAAAAGAAAGAAGAAACGGATAATGAAGATAAACCTGATTAATTTATAACCCAAGTGAAAACAAGTATTTGCTTCAGAAAGTATACATGCAATTCAAAATTACTAATCTGTAGGTTCCAGAGGTTTAAATATGGTCTCTGAATTATCATTTGACTAGCCAACAAAAATATCCTACAAAAATCAGTGTTTCAAATCTCACATCAGCAACAAAGTGTTCATTTCTGATTAGTTTATAAACCATATAAAATGTACTAATAGTTTTACTGTTTTTTATATATATTCCAGACTATGTGAATGTGAAGTTATCATAAACAGGAAAGTATTTAAATGGTAAGAATGTGGGGTGGGAAGCTTTTGTTACCTGTTTTTTTTACCATTTAGTGGATTTTATGTCTTGAAATCATAATCCCATATGCTACAGGTAATAATACTTATAATTACAGAATATGTGAAGGTGAAGGCATTATATGAATGCCTGTGATCAGATTTGTGCTGAGGACAAGCGCATACAAGTTCCACAAAATCACAAACAGTATCTTTTCCATGGCTAATGATACTTAGCTGTAATGGAGCTAATAATTCTTAAATTAATGCAAAATCAAGAAATCTACACAAGGATCAAGTCACCTTGCTCTTAATTTTCTTTATTTCTGTAGGGACGTAAAATGTCCTTCATGATTTCCTTCTGAACTGGAAGTACATCTCTGGGTTTTTCTTTTTGTGTATAGACACACATATGTGCATAAACACATATGTGCACACTCCATATATGTAAGTAAATGAACCACTGTCTTAAAATGTGTTACAGTTCTTAAACCCAAATTACTCCATCATAACAGTGAAGAATAATATGTTTCAAGAATTTTAAAGAAAAAAAACCTCAATGACTGCTATTCCTTCTAAGTCACCAGTCTTCTGCTTCACACTCATAGATTCTCAGTGTTAAGTGAGTGTAAAAAACAGTGGGGAATAAAATGAGATTCAGTACACTGGAACATCTCACAAGCACAGGAAAGCACAACTCAAATGTAAGATTTGATTGAGTAATTTATGCCATTCTTATACTTACAGCTGACATGATGAGCTCTCCACCTAGGTTCTGGATTTCTGCTTTAACTTGACTGCAGATTTTGAGCTGATGGGAGTACAGCTTGATCTGTTCTAGGTAAGCCAACAAATCCTGTTTGCACGATTGGTCTGGACACTGAAGATTAAGAAAAGAACAATTGTCTCAGACATCAGGTTAATACTTTACTGAGGAGTACTCAAATTGTACACAAGTGTAGCCTTGCTTTTCACTGCAGCTGCATCAGGTTGTGTAGTTCATTCCTCTTGTGAAGCTTTTTAACGAAATAATTGGAGAAGTTCATAATAATCCTAAACTTCCTCATATTCACTTTTTATTTAACTGCTGGGCTCGCCTTAGCTATATTTCTAAACAAATTCTTTTATGTATAGAATAATTACTTTCCCTTCAGTTTGTAAGAGGTTATGATTTATTTTTAAGAAAGTAATACTTATGTGATATTATGGCCCATGTAAACATAGATTCAGAGAAATGTTAACATTTATATGAAATTATGCTTTATCTTATGAGACAATCTATGTTTTTTTGTGTTCCACCCAGAATTTATTCAACTTGATCTGCATAGCTTCTGTATCAGTGGGAACAGGAATTTAAGAATGTCTCACTGATTTCAATACTTTTAACAATACAGTATCTTTTATAAAAATAGCATCTTTCTACCCTCACTTCTGTGAACTCCCAAAATACTTGGGAGTACTTGGAGGGAAAATATTCCTCTGTGAGTACCAGGCTAGACACCAAAGGCCTGGTATGCGCCTGTTCTAAAGCTGCTTTTCATTGCTCTGGCAGCATAAAAGGATCTTAAGGTGAATGCTGAGTGCCTATCACGCTACCACAGCCCTAAAAAGGAAGCATGATAAATAAGCAGATCCCCACAGTTTTTCAGAGACACGTTTTTAGCCTGTGTGCTGTACCTAAATTATAAATATGGTCACTTTCTACTGATAGGAAATGGTGTTCAGCTTTGTATATTAAAAAAGAAAAGATATGTTCCCACCACCTTCAGTGCCAACAACCATCTATGATTTTGTACAGTTATTAATCCTTTGGTCTTACAGAATTGTGGTCAGTGCGGTCGTGATTTAAATCCAAAACTTGCTAGAAGTCAGAAAAAGCACCAGCTCTATTAATTCATTAACTACTTTACCTAAACTACTGCCTTTGCTGAAGAAACTTGACACTTGTTTAAAACGGGGGTGTGATGATTCTACTCTTTATGACTATGCAATAGAATAGACATGTTTGGTGACGCAAACAAGTTCATGATTTAGACTTAGGAGAAGGTGACAAGGACAAACGAAATTAAAGTGAACAATTTAAAATTAATTAATATGAATTAAATGTCAGTCCTTACCTCATGTTCTGCTAGATCCATTACTAAAATGTTTTCTGTACTGTGGCACAGTTTAGAAGAAAAACGGAAGAGTTTCTTGACATCGTCTCTTTCTTATGTGTGATGTTTTCAAGGTGTTAGTGTATTATGGAAAACTATACTAAAATATGTCTTCTCAACACTGCTTTAAGAACGCACAAATCAGTATTTAAATACTGGTATCTCACTGACTGTTTAGCAAACTGGAATACTCATTGTTGATTTAATTTTAATTAATAAAGATCTGTCCTTCCAGTCAAATTCAACTGTAATCCCTTTAAGCATCAGAACTGATCACATCAAGACAGGGTGTATTTCCTGGAACGAGATGCTTGCTCCTCAATTTTTTTTCTCCTCTTCTTAAAAACACTGTGATTTACTTTTTTCCCCACTGGAAAAACTCAAGAGATGGGCAGATAGGGTGCCAATACAGTGTCTCATCCACTTCAAATAGTGACAATGTAAATTATAGAAGTTCAGGGGCAATAATATTTTAACCTTATTGTATAGTACTCTTTTATATAATAATATTGGCAGGCCAGTTACATTTACTTCCTTATATACCATTAGAGAAGAAATGTGTAATGTTTTTAGGAATGCTAAAGACAGTATGCATTGAAGACTGGGAAATTTCCACTCACAAACAAGACCTCAAGGTTAAAACAGTTCTGTGAAAACATTGGTTCAGTGCTCAGTAGCATTCAAAAAAAGCAAAATGCTGGGCATTGTTAGGAAAATACTTATGAAATGTAATGATGCAACTGTACAACTCCATAGTATACCCGCAGCTTTACTACACTGTGTATGTATGGTGCATCTTTCCCCTTTCCTGCCTATTACAAGGCACATATGAAAATAGCAAAAGGACCACAAAGATTTTCATGAAGACAGGTATTCTTTCCTCTAATACAAAACCAAGAGGTCATTAAAAGTAACTGGCATGAGTTCAAAACAGGAGGAGATGGTTCTTAATACTGTGTTGTTATGTTGCACAAATCTTTGTTGCAGACTGCTTATACGCTTACATGCATTAAAGAAATTACTGGACAAATTAATGAAAAAAGTAGCAAGGACTATTTAATGTATCTAAGTGTATCAAAAATATGTTTGGTTAAATGAATGTCTGAATGGCTGCTGGGGGCTGGGAGACTGTTGTGGAGGTATCATGAAACACATGCTATTATCTCACAAAGTTCTGTATGAATTCACTATTGCCAGCAACAGGATATTGGCCTAAATGAACCATTGGTCTGACCTGTGTGCTCATTTTTATGTACTGTACCCACAAAACTTTACAAGAAGCTATGATCAAGGCAGGGACCAACACAATAGAAAGAAGAGGCATTTACATGGGTAAAGATAACACTCCACACTAGTTTAAGCAGGGTAAAGTACTACAAAAAAATTAAAGCCTCCTGCCTTATGGCATATCCAAATCAACCATAAACAGATGTTAGAAAGAAATGTACTTTGTACAGAGGATATTCCATAAGGAATCCTCTACATAGTGCTCAGAAGCATCTGGTAAAGCAATTCTTGCTTACTAGTGAAACCAAACACTAGGCTGCAACAGCAGGGCAATTTATAAATTCTGAGTTTAATCATCCCACGGGCAATTGATGGTTACCAGTTTAATGTCTCACATTCTTAGCTAGAGAACCTGGCAAATTATGAGAGGTTCTTTCCCCTACATATTGAAGGCAGTGGGGTGTTAACAACAGCTTTCTGTAAGAACGGGATCAGAACTGGCTTGCATCCAAAAGATACAGTGGTGTTTTACCTAATAGAAATAATATCCACAGAAACCTCCAAGTGATTTGATAAACTGTGCAGTGATTAAAAACACAGTGAAACCAACATTCACAATCCAAGTCAAAAAGCCACTGGCACAGCAGTGCCACAAAAGATCAAGACAAACAATTCTGCAGGAAATTCTGACTGTTCTTGCTTTACTTTGATTGCATTCCTTCGCTAGCAAAGTCAGTAGCATTGCTCTAGAATCTGAATCTGTCTTCATGGTAATTTATACTGGGTATAATCACACACAGACCCACTACTATGAATATAAATGTACGATGTATTGCAACTATTTGCTAATTCTAAGCTTTTAGGTAAGATGATCCTGTAATCAGATCTTTTCGGCACATCTGCTTGGATCATGTTTATCACCTAATAATCTCAAAGGATGCCTGTTTAATTTTACTTTCAGGAAAACTTTTTTAAAGTACATGAAATCAGCTTTAAAGTCAGGAGACTACCTGGCTCTATAGAGATGTTTCATACTGATCCCTATACTTCCAGAATTTAAAATCAGTTAATATTTATTGCATTGATGTATTGATCCTGATCGAGAGACCACTGTACATGGAGGAGTTGCTGACCCACCCAGCAGTACCTGCGCGGGACCAGCCCATGCTTCGTGAGGCTGCACACTGCTTGGCCCCCAGGCCGTGCTGGGGTGCACAGCCGCCCAGGTGCAGCGTACACCCAGCTGATGCACGGCAGCAGAGGAGCTTGCGGGCAGCTCCCCCTCAGTGCTGTGATTAGTCCACCTGTCTAGCCTTGCCTTTATCTAGGACTGCAGAAGGAAGCTCTCAAGGTAACATCCCGTCTGATAGTGGAAATGATTAATAGAGTTCTTTCCTTGTAAAGGAAGTCTCATAATAGCTTAAGTGACCAAAATGGGGGAATCTCTTCTACGGACAGGGTCTGCCCACTGTGCTGTGTGAAGAATCGGCGGCCTGTTCAATGCTACATCTCCTGGGGTTCCTGTCACTGAAAGGGATGTAAGATTACCTACACCATTCTTTCCTTACAGTGTTAGCACTGACAAACAGCGTTTTAAATGACACTTCACAGAGTCGCAGTGCCTTTCTTACTGGGATCCTAATGGACAGGCACCTCCTGGTGCAAAACAACTGAGGCTTTTAATAAAGATCTTAATCTACAGCACACTCCATTAAAACTGGGATGTACTGACTGCCTTAATTATCTTACAGCTTTCAGGTCACAAATTTGACAATGAATTTGGAACAATCTGATTTTAAACTAAATTTATTATCAAGGTACTTGTGATTAATTTGCCTACGTTTATGTTGATGCTGTCCTGTGATTATTTTCACAGTTGTTAACTCTGAGTCATCTTGAATTGCTGTGTGGACTGAAATATAACAATTCTGCTAATTGTACCACACTGTGTCCCTTTCCTTCAAACACACGAAGAGGGATTTAGAAAAATCTGAAATTAAGAAAAATGTATCAGGGAGGTGCTGTTGTGGCTGATGAGTTATAAAATACTGCAAATACAGTTTCAGGGTGGGGTGGGATTTTTTTTTTTCCTCCTAACAGAAAAACTATGAATGTAATTCCACAGTTCTCACTTTTGAGTCTCTGAAATTACATGGAGTAGGAACCAAAATAATTAATTTGAAAATGTTTTATGAACAGGAAAAGGTCAAAGAGATACAACAATGATTCTTCAATGTGCAGTGATAGCTTATTATAGGTTCTTCCTCAGGTCTGAAGCTAGAATAATGAAATAGAGTGATGTTTTTGCTTTATTTACTTGCATGTAGCTTTGAATACTGAAAATTCTGTCATACAGCATTTTGAAAAAAACCACAGTGAGAAAAGAGCTCTGAAAGCAAAAGATTTCTAGCCATCTGCGTAATGAGGAAAAGATCATATTAAGCATCTTTGCAATAGGAGGAGTAAAGGTGAGATTCTCTTTTTTGCTAAGTTTGACAGCGTCTAGCAATGACTGTAGTCATCTTCACTACAGAGGTACTGGAAGGGCTGCTTTGGGTAATTTTTTTTTTAAGTTGTATATGCTCATTTGCTTCTAGTACTTATAACATGAAATAACATCTAAAATACACTTATAACTGACTAGTGTATTTCAGATGCATACAAGATGCCACAGGGAATAAAGACCAGGCGGCGCAAGGGTATCAACTGTGTGCAAGCTCTGAGCTAGGACAAATTGAAATAATTTGAGTGAATTCAGTAAAAAGATTACAGTAACTTGAATGCTGTTACATTTCTCAGCAGCTATGAGAATACACACAAATTATTAGCACTAATGATTCATGGCTACTTTTTTCTCACACTGATTTGTCTATGTTTCTAGTCTGGAGTCACTGTAATAGTACAGAAAAAGGAAAATTTTAGGAAAAATACTTCAGCAAGACTGGATTCCCTATTCTAAAAAGAGCAAGAGATTACAACCCTTGCTCATATTTGGCTTTGACACCACATCTTTTTCTGCAACAGATCAGCGACAAGTTACAGTTTTTAATTTGTAATTGATGAAATCTTGAAAGGAGCCATTCTCCATGCTCTTGAAAAGAGAGATGTGCTGGATCTGAGAGATCTGTCAAGATCAGAAACAGGGACTCAGGACATTTTACCTAGTTTTTCAACAAATCAGATCACAACTGTGTAAATTGAGAATAGAAATTCTTTGTGTTGTTATTTGGAATTGAGAAATACGACAGAAAACACGAACAGATTGTTGCTGCTTCAGAGATACTACAATAGCAAGCTCTGCATATGAAAATCAAAAGTGAGGGGAAGCGAGACGTTATGTGAGGGTGTGGAAGACAGTGACTATACCATGCTACCCTGTGCCTAAAAGGCAGTCACAAAGACTAGGAATGTAAATGCTTTAGATTTGATACTTGCACATCAGCATTTCACTACACTGTTCTGTTGGCACTGTCTGGCCCTAAAACAACCAACATTATGTAGTAAAGAGGGCTGCATGTGATGAGTTGCTTGGTGCACTCATTTACTAAGCTACTACACAGCTGTCACAGCCAGGACAATGAGCATGCTTATCAATTTGTGTATCCTGGTTTGGGTTTTTTGGGTGAGTTTTTTTGTGCTATCTGATGCTTTAAAAATCCAATGGAAATAAAGTAGACCTTATAGCTCTAGCCCTTTGCATTTGATGATGATATGTATTTCTTCTCAATGCAAAAAAAAAAAACAAACCCTCATCTCAAGACTGCAGTTATGCAGAGGCCAGAACTCTGACTATCCAGATGGGTATTTACATGGAAAACCATTTGACACCAGTGCTCCAAAGAAATGGCCAGTGTCGGGGGGAGAGATAGGAAAGATAATCTAGGTACCACAAAAGCACAGATCCTGTAACATATGTACATACACATCTGTGCTATAAGTACGCATAAATTTATGTGTGTTTGTAAGTGTATATAGACAGACACATTGATATGTATGAAGAAGAGAATCCACACATACAATTAATACAGGATGTACCTATCCATCGCTTCAGAAATGGAGAAGATAAGGAAAATCAGACAGGTAGATCTAAAAATGTCACAAGTGCTTTGTAAGTCACCTTCTCAGGTGTTGGAATTTCTGTGGACTAATCTGTGACAAAGTTTAATGCACTGTTGCATAAATAACCTACCTGATTGGCAATCAGCCGTGCTAGGACATCCATCCTTGATCCTGACTCTGAAATCATTTTTGCTGCATTAATTACATCAGATGTGTTCTTCAGTGGTCCTCTACCCCTTCAAATGAAACAAAGAACCCTATTACATTATTCAAAAGCTGAGAATAAATCATATCCATCCAAACTAGGCACAGGAGAACTCAATTGAATACAAAAACTAATCCATACAGAAGCAACATTAATTAAATCCCCACCTCCCCCTTCCCCCCCCAACTGTTTTGTGTTCATGGCCCACAAATTTGTATTGTTTGGCACCAACTGGATGCAGAAGTACCAGAACGATGCCACACAGGTTTTTCATACTGGAAGCACAAGCCATGCCAAATCCTGCGGATGCGGATTTTAAGAAAGTACTCATGGTGTTTGCTTTGCCCGTGGTTATATGAAGTTTATGTTCCTTTCCCTTCCAGGAATTTTCTAGTAAATATGTTCAAAGAAAGTTCAGCACAGTGATTATTCTGAGACTCATCATAGATATCTGATCAGAAAAACTACGTTTTTTTTAAATTTAATTCATGTACACAAGCATGAATGGAAATACATGAACAGGACTGCAATTAAAACAAACAAATGCCACTCAAAATATAGATATGCCATATCTCAAAGCACCTTCCAAATAATTTCATAAATTATTCAAAGAACATTTTTCACTTTAGGAAAACTGTAAAGTTCTTCTGAACAGTTTGTCAAGAAGCTAACCTCTTTTTTTGTACGTGCTCCCCCCAACCAAAAAAAGTTATTTTATTATGTGAAAATGTTTCCAGAACCTAAGTAAAATGTGACTACTTAAGGTAGGTAACACTGACAACCGTTATCTTCCGATTCTCTTGTGCATCAGCTTCTTCAATGCTGAAATACTTCAGCTAAACTAGAATCAACACTTGTAGTTCACACATGTATAAAGTGAGCAACCCTGCTAAATTAAACTTTGCATTTAACATCTTTGACAAGAATACTTTCATTATATAAACATTTAATTCCTGAAGGCCTTGTAGCAATTTATAAGCTCTGCAATGGACAAAAGAAGTAGAAAACAAGGGAAAAAATTACTATACTTCTTTGTTCTAATGAGAAGACTCTTTCTTGAAGTCAATATGGTTTCATGTATAAAGGTGACAAACCATTCCAGTAAGAAACACATTTAGCCTAAAAACATTATCATATGTAGTTATACAAACATTTCATTCAGTAAAAAGACAGTGATGGCAACACAACATGGCAGGTAATGTTTAATCTCTTCTTTTCTTGATTAATTATATTGTTTAGCAAAGAACTATTTGTTGATCCCTGTGAAAAAACCCATAGTTTACAAATTACAGTTCCTTATCTTCAACTTTTGAAGCCCACATTAAGAACAACCTAGGATCAGGTATTTTACATGTTATTTTTCTACAGAAAGGCATCTTCTTGTTATGGAAAACCTTTTTAGTAACTTGATCAGAGTTTATAGAATAATTGTGTACATGAGGAATGAATTTGCAAATGCAATCCCGTGCATCGAGGATTAAGTACTTCAAACTTCATCATACCCTTCAATTGCCTGCCCTGATATTTTCCCTTCTAACCCTTTGTTGCACAACCGTATTCTTACGACTACATACTGAACCCTCTCACCATTTCAGTCCACTGATTAGTTTTTCATTGCTATTTGCAAAGGTCATGGGTATGTCAGCTGTTCACAGCAAGTCGTTTAGGTGCCATACAAACGATAAGCAGTCCAGTACCCTCCTGGAAAGTTACAACCCAGTCTACCAAACAACAGAAAAGGTGAATGTAACCCAGAATTAAAGAAGCGGGAAGAGAACAGAGGGCGTAACAATGCAAGTAATTTCTGCTTAGGTAATTCTTATGAGTATCAACCAGCAGCTTTTTGGACAGCTGAAGATACGCTGGCCAAGTATTTTGAAGGTGAAGCTGTTCAATTGAACTAGCAATTTTCTTGTACCTGTGCAAGTCCTTGAGGGGATCTAGCTAAAGGGAATGAAGCAATTGTACCCGAGAAGATATTTCAAACAAATGAAAAGAAAGTATTTCTTTCCACCACACATATGGCCACCATGAGAGCCGTTAGAGGAACACTCAGGAGTGAGGACTGACAAGACTTCTGCTCCACTTGCCACCTAATTGCACCAATGACTCAAGTTCTTCTCTAGTATGTTCTCTAAGAAAGATGGGGCAGGATGCTTATGAGCTATAAACCAATGATAAGTCTTGAAACAAATGCTTAGAAGTAGTGTTTTAGAATGCCTGACTTTTACATTAAAAAGTGTTGACAAAAACCAGTGTGTTAAGTTACACATACAAAGAGGGCTCTTTTTCTGCATAACCCAGATGAACTATCCATGCTCCTTTCTTCACTCTCACATAAAATCCAGACCCGATCTAAAAATACAGGTTTAATTGCCTTGGGGTATGGCATAATGAGCCATAAGTCCCAATTTATGATGTTTGGCAATTCTATCCACTAAATACTTCTAAAAGAATACTTGGAGTAAGTACACCAAATCTGCTGAATCACCAGCCAAATGGAAGAAACAGACAGAAAAAAACCAGGATGCAATTTCTATGGGGACAACTGTAAACTCTAAATTTGGACATAAATAATCATCAACTGCGTAGACAGAGTGATACAGCCTATATAGCAGGTTTTAAAAAAAGATATAGGGGTTATTACAGCGGGTCAGTCTGAACAAGAGCCCATGAGGTAGTGCTGTTATGAAGACAGCAGCTGCCACACCAAGGTACACAGGTAGATATCCAAAACAAACTTTTCCTTTCACTTTCTCAGTTTTGGTAAGACAGCAGCTGCAGTTCTGTGTGGGTTTCCATGAAGAAAGTTTTGACATGATTGGAGGCTGTGCAAATAAGATGGTTAGACATGTCGTAAACATGACCAATAAGGAGGGATTGAAGGGTTTAAACACTTCTTTGATACAGAAATCTCAAAGTTAGGAGTGGGGCAAAGGATGAAGCATAAGCAAGAGAGGCTGTAGGATGCAAATGGTAACATTCCTCAAATGGGCTTCATGGCTGTAGTGGATAGGGGAGGTAGTATTGAGCTGACATTCTAGAAAAGAAGTTTCAGGTGAGGCACCAAGATCCTGAGGAACTGGAGCAGGGCAGCCAGGAGGTTGTGGTGTCTCCACCACTGGAAGAGACTAGACAGACATCTGTTATGAATGATGGGATAATTGAAGTCCCCTTCCGAGCTCTCGTCCAGTCTGATGATTTTATTTGAAATTTAAGAAAGAACTTTGATGTTGTTTGGTGAGTGACTACCAGTTTCAATGCATGTTCCCTTCTAATGTTATCAGTGCAGCTGTGCATTTTGTGATTTCCCAGTTTTCCTGATTTAGCACCAGAACAGCAGATTCAGATTGCCACTAGCTCAGATTAACGCCCTGAATCCAGATGTTAGAGACACAGAAAGTCTATTAAATCATATAGGTTGTTTTCCCCAGCCAGTAAACATCTTCCTATCAGTTTTATATTTACTTGCATTTTTTCCTGTCAATTGAAGGATGAAAAACACTTCACTTGGGAAGCTGTTTCCCTGAGCTATCCATCTCACTGTCTGGAATTTTCTTCAGATATTTCCCTTAGTTCACTCTCCGATTCCTTGTACCAACATCCCTTTCATTCTGCAAGTGTAGCTGATGATTCTCCTCCTGTAGGTGCTGAAGCATCCCTGCCTAATCTGTGAGACTAATCTGTGGTACTGGTCCAGTTGTTAGAATAACCAAATTACTACAGACGATATAGATCTGCATGCAGAAGCTTAAGAAGATTAGCTTAGCTCATGCACCTACAGCAGATGCTTAAAGACAGAGTAAAAAAATCCTCCCACCATGTACCATCTGCTGGTCAACAGCATCACAAAATTTCTCCTTCACAGAGCCTTCCATCTTTTTCCCTCTTTTATGAGAGAAATTCTAATATCTTTGCTGTGGTGTCCATGTACTCTTTTATTAAAGTTATCCTTATCTTACTATTTTTTCCCCTGCTTCCAGTCTCTGTAATTTTCAAAGTCAAAACTTCATCTCACATACTCAGTTCCTGCATTTATTGAAATTCTTTCCCAATTATTTCATTCGGTTCACAGCCTACAACAGACTCTGAATGCCTAATTTTGATCCATTGCATACAAGATCTAATGTATCTAATGTATCTATTTTCCTCACACTTCACTGTTTCCAAGCATAAAGACTTACTATCTAAGTAAGTTGATAAAACATTCAAGGCTATGAAATCGAAGATGAGACAGAAAGTGCTATATTTATGAGCAATTATATGCCACCTGCTCTGTCAAATGAGGGAACTAGGAATAAATTGAGAGAGACATCCAGCTAACTAGAAGGAATATAGTTACTGTACAACAAAATCAGTTTAGAATATCTCAACAAAGTTGTAGGAGGAAAAAAAAGAGCTTCATAGAAATGTTTCTTGGAAGGTACAATCAGAAGAAGAAAAAAACTGGACCATGTTAATTGGTATGACACCAAGGGGTTTGGAAAATTGTCAGAGAGACCTAAGCCTCTCAGTCTAATAATTCTTGCTCAAAGCCATGATCAACAATGTATCTGCAGAGTAACTCCATCCCTGTCTGCCTAAACGGAACAACAATGTTTAGCAGGCATCAGTAGCGGGCATTATTTTCTTTTTTCCTTCACAATGGAATTTCACTCTGAAAAGTAACCATCGAAAATACTCTCTTAATTCTTACATTAACAGAAACTTGTACTCTTACCTGTAATCCAAAAGGCATTTGCCATCACATTTTCCAGGAACAGAGACTTCTGTCTCTGAGCAAAGCTAAGCGGCTTACCCGTGCTCACTGTATACTCACCTCAGCAAATGTTTTGTACTTCCTCTGCATCAGAAACAACAATAGGGAGCTCTACTGACTAGTCAGTCTCAAAGAATAAACTCCTACCTAACATGCATCTAACACCCAAAGCTACGATCAAACATAAGCATTTCAGAGCACTGCAAGCATTTCAAGGCGTGAACTCAAGCTTTGCAAATACTGTCATCTCCAAACCACAACCTGATGTCTTG